GCAACCATTCACAATGATGCGTTTCAGTTGAGCGAGGTCCTTCTGTATCGTCTTCAAGTTAAGGTTTAGAGACGAATATACAGAGTCCACCTTCATGTGAACACCCGTGAAAACCCTGAATAACTCTGTTTTGCAGAACCAACCGATGCGAGACGAGGAAGAGAATCAATTAGGACCTGATTGGTTCCGATAAAGATGTGGTGCCACGCAGACTCCAGTGCCGAGACTCCTTCGCGAGTTTCCTCGGCTGCTGATCCATGGCGTGAACGGCTTGATCGAGATGGTCCAACAGTTTCTCCATTGGCATTAAAGCAGGGGAGTATGATGACCAAGGGAGCGTAGTACACTCGTCCTCGTTCTCGTCGAACCACGCACATACACTACGAGCCGTTTGACATTGCATTGCCTGCTGGTACCTGCCATCTGCTGAGGAAAAACGATTTACATGTAGGGGTGGATATGGTTCCCCTCTAATTGATATTCAAGGCTAACAACCTTGCATAACCACGGGATGCAGCCCATCCCATCCCCCAGGCCCATGATTCCGCACGTTCATCTCTCTAGGATAGGATACATCTGGGCCTCGGAGACAGAAATGTGTTGCGTGGTCAACTGTATATATGTATGTATATATATATATATATATATATATATATATATATATATATATATATATATATATATATATGTTCCGGAGAGAAAACGACAAAACTTTGAAAATAAGTTCTTAAGACAAATTTAACCAAATTTCGTCTAATAAACTACTTGGATATTCCAAATGGCTAAGCCGCTATAAGCACTCAACTCAAAATGTGGTTTGAAAAAATGCTTTCTAGGCAAAAATTTGGATTGTAGAAGCTTAGAAACACTCCACAAACATGTTAATTTCTTATTATTTACAAAATAAATTAATAAAGTTTTGCAGAGGGATGGTTAACCGAGAAATAAAGCAGTAAATTATGTAAATTGGGTGTTATTATAATTGCGTCAATTATTCCACATTTCACTCCATACGCTCATTCCTTTCGTTACACCTCTTTCTTCGATATTTTTAGCATTCTCCTCGCATTCTCCTTCCTCCAGGTAGTTTCACAATTTTTCTGCTTTAGTAGCACTTCTCTTATTTCGCCTTTTTAACATTAGATTCTTTAAGTTCTTCCCTTTTTGTCTTCATTTTCCTTTTTCCCTTCTTACTTTAGATGGCTCATGCGCTATTGCATCATGCCAGGAAGTAGTAGCTCAGAAGTTTACCCATCTCATAAATCTAAGAAAGAACTACATTTAGGATGCGCGGACCTATATTTGCGGTGTACCCTAAGACCGCACGACTAAAATAGAAAAGGAAATGAAAAATACACAGAAATTCACTTCAGCGTTAACCGAGCGATGAAAAGCACACTGGATTTTGTTATTTAAAAATAACAATAAAAATAATATAAATTATTAATTGGAAGGGTGAAGTACACAATATTGTCATTTCGTAATGAGTGTCCCAACAAACCAAATATTACACAGACTCAACCATCACATTTTCATTACTTTACTATTTCACTTTTTATTGAATAGCAATAGTGATTTTTTATTGTGAATATAACGAACACCGAAAATACATGGTGTTTAAGTCTTACGCTACGTTATTCTTCTTAACATTAATCTCTTACGAATACGCGATTTGAAGCACGTCATAATGTAACTACAGTACAGTTACGACAAACTGTTCATTGGAAAGGTTGAGAGAATAATGACGTGGTCATCCTATGATGTATAACCATGCACCTGGCATCTCTTGTCTCGTAACAGAGCTGTACACCTTTAACAACTGTGACTAATGTGACTTTAAATAAATCTGTAACTAATACTGCAAATTTTAATCGGCACTTCATATGTATGGTGGGATCGAATATGGTGAAACGCTTGTACAAATTCGGCAACTTTCTCTGATGAATAAATTGAAGATATTTCGTAAGTGTAATGAGAACTCACTGATTTCAAATTTTCAAAGTAAGAATACTAATTTTGTACACAAAACAACAAGGAGAGTGTTGCGCTCCTGGGGCATTGAGGGCACTATTTTTGTCGAGTGTTGTCGCAGCATCTAGTGAGCGATGTTAGATATCAGGGTTGCCAGACGGCCAGCCACCAGGCCCCGCGAAGCTGCGAATTCGCTTCACCTCCGCGATTTAACAGAGGGAGTCAAGGAATTCGTCGAGCGACGCTGATTTTCGAGGAACGTTATCTTAACTTCTTACGCTTAGAAAATGCTTTTTATCTCATATTTGTAATTGTATATTTTTAAATATTCAATAACATTTTCGGGTTTCACCCATACTCACACTTCGCTTTATGAATCATATTAACTGGTAAGCGGGTCGAAATGCAATTGCATGTTGATTTTAGATTCTTAATGAAAATCTATCAAACTATATAATGTGGGTTCAGATTCGTAGGCTAAAGGTCCTTTGATACATAATGGAGTAAATTGAACTGTAATGGAATTAATGTGAATATGAAAGAATGAGTCTATAACATGAACCAAAAATTACTTTATTTCCACACAATAGACACAAGCTCAAGTGTTAAAGTCACGTTTCAGTCTTTTTTCGTGAACAGTTAAAAGAAGATACCGCATTTATTGCATCAAACATTGCTTGAGAATGACATACTGAACGTCTAAGGCCTAAAAATGAAATGGTAGAAATGAAATGAAGTAGAGCAACGTGGAAAGGAG